ACATTTTGGAAACTTTGAATAGGTCGATCTTATTAAGACCATTCTGTTACAGTAAACGTGTTGTATTCAATAGCATATGATTTATGTATGTTGGGCTTGGAATTTTGGGAGCAATCTTTGGAAAATATTGAATTAGGAGGGTAGAAGATCAGTTTTTTGTAGGCAAAGCAGAACCTTGGTTTGAAAGGCCCAAGGCCATTCTTTCAATCTGTTTCTGCTTTGGTGTGAACTGACTTGATACCACCAGCAGAAATGGTATTTTTTTAAGGAACACAGGTGGACCAACTCACCATTCTCCAAGCATATCACTTTCAACAGGTGACAAACTTACAGAGGAGAGAAATAGAACCGAGGCAGGTTCAGTGCTTGGCACTGTCCCACATTTGCAGCGGCTCGGGGGCGGGGGGGAGAGGGGCTGCGAGGCACTATGTCAACTGCTGAAGTGTAGTTCTTGCGATCTGCCGTGAAGCCCAAGCAAATTAGAAGAACACTTCCATCTCCATTCAAATACAAATTAAGCTGAGATGCTATCAAAGAGAAGATGATGACAAGGATCAAAGTGGTGCAACAACCTTGGGAAAGATTAAAGAACATTAATTGAACACGATTTTAACCAGATATGAAGAAGGTGTTGGTGCAGCTGAGAGAGAGAGAGAACAGGTCATTCAATTAATGGCATGTTTGTACAGCTCCAGTCACTCATCAAAGGGAGAGTCCTGCCTCGTACTGATGGAAACAGCAAATGACGTCAGGAAAGGTGTCACATGACAGCGCTGGGTGTTCGAGACCAACGCAAAGCTCACAGCACACCAGCAAAAGTTGCTAGAGGAATTATTTGGGGGGACGTTCAGAGAGCCACCGTTAAACTTAAAGACTGTCCCGATATGTGGCTTACTTGAAGATGCATATGGAAACGGGCGGGGGAAGGAAACGCGGACCATACTTGAGACCCACGGGCCCACATGACTGGGCCCGTGCAAGGGTCACGGCTGAGCAGCAGCGCCCGTCTTCTGTGCAGGAAGTGTTTCAGGCAGGTTGAGCCAGGAGCATCTCCCCGGCCCCGGAAGCAGCCTCGTTGCAACCCCGGCAGATGCTGTGCGGGCAGCCCTGAGCCAATGGCTGCACGATCTGGCCCTGCAGAAGGCAGCTTCCAGCACACCGGCCTGTTTCCCAGGCGCACCAGTTCGTGAGACTATTCATCTCGCAGAAGCCTCGGCAGCCTTCTAGCTCCGCAAGGGCTGCAGGCCTGGCTTATCCATCACCCATGATTTGGTAAGTGTTCCCTGCACTTCTGCATCCAAATCATTAGTTAAAATGTTAGGGTCCAGGGCCCAGGACTCAACCCTGCACGAGGAACCTCTCCCCAGTTTGAGAAGGTGCCATTGGCGATCACTTTGAGACTGATGCTGTAGCCAATGGTGGATCCATCCGGCCGTTGTTCCATCTAGCCCAATTTTAGTTAGTTGATGCATCAGGGTATCGGGGCGCTTTGTCAAAAGCTTTACTGAAATCAAGATCGACAGCATCCCCACACCAAGCAAGGAGATCACCTGGTCAAAAATAGGACCAGACTAGCAGGCTAATTCTTGGGAAATCCATGTTGGCTTTGCTGCATTGTTTTTGAAGCATTTGTAGATAGACTGCTTCATAAGCAGCTCCCAAATTTTCCCAGGGACTGATGTCAGACTGACTCGTCTGCAGGTGTTCTTGCTTTCCTTTCTCCACTCACAGCACTTCCCCCGTCCTCCATGATTTCTCAAAGATAACAGACAGTGGTTCTGAGTTTTTTGCCAGCTCCTTTCCGACTCAAGGAGGGAGTTCGTCAGGCCCTGGCAATCTGAACGCATTCAACCCGATGAGATGGTCCTTGGCCATTTACCTAACTCAAGCTGCCATCCCGCTTCATCAGCTTGCACTTCCCTTCACCAGGAAGGTCATTAGATCCTCTTCAGGTCGAAGACTAAGTCAAAGTAGGAACCGAATACTCCTGCCTTTCCTTTGTCATTAGCATTTTGCTACCCACACTGAGCAGCAGAAGCCCCGTTCCTCTTTTACTACGGGCACGTCGGAAGGCGGCTGCAGCTGCCGTCGCACGGAGCGTCCCTTGCTAAGCCAGGCTCGCTCCTAGCCCGAGCCTTCCGGATGCTAACCCCGCAACCCCATGCGAAATGCTTGCACCCTCCCTTTGCGCCCGGCCTTCCTTCCACCACCAATACACGCCCTTTTTGTTCCCAGATCATCTCTGAGCTTTCAGTGAAGCCACCTGGGCTCCTTCTGCGTCTCCTCCCCCCTTTCCTCGATGGGCTCGTTTGCAGTTGTGCCCTCAGAATTTCCTTCTTAAAATTCCAGCCATTCCGGACTCAGTTTCTCGTGTCATTTGTCATGGGACTTACCCTTGTGCTCCGAGTTTACTGAAATTGGCTTTCCTAAAATCCAGGATAGGTCTGGCTACACTTGACTTTTGCTCCCTTTAGAATCAAGAATTCAGGCATGGCAGGATCACTTTCCCAGTTCCCATTAACTGCCATTTTGTGGGAAACTGGAGTCCCACACCGTTCCTTGCTTTTCTTGCTCTGGTGAAAAGGTTTCTCGGGAAGAGCCTCTCTCCCCATCCAGGATTCATTTCCACTGTGTTATTTTATCTGCTTTTCCAGATATGCTGTATTTAACCTAGTCTTAGATATTGTTGCATGGTGTTTCGAATATTTTATTCTAAGCCATCCTGACGGGGAGAGGAGGATTACTGCTCTTCATCTTACTGCCTCCAACCCCAAGGAACACACGATTCCCAGGAAGGAGGAAGCCACTCTGCAGTAAGACAGGAAATAAAAAATTTATTGATATGTTGTGCGGGAGGCAGAATAAAACTACACAAAATGCCTCCCAGAGAAAAGGAAGCTACAATAGTTTCATTATTAGTATATAAAAACCAGCCAGTTACGAAGAGAAAGATGAGCACTTGGTGAATGGGTTTTCCATGAGACCCCCTTCGGAAAGGGGCAGCGGCCAAAAGTGTCCACTGCAGCCCCTTCAGCTGCCCCCCCCCCCCCCGCTGACGTGTAGGCACTTCTTGGGAGAGGGGCGAGCACAGTGCCCCTGGGGCTCTCAGGGGAACGACCCTCGTGGGAGCTGCGGGGAGGACGCCCCCCAAGCCTGTGCTTTTGTCCCCTGTGGCACCACCAAGTGCCTCAGGGGGCTTTGTCTGGATGGGGCAGGCAAGACCCTTTCACTCTTCCAGCCAAAGGCGAAGCTGGTGCAAGTGGCTGGAGGACACAGGCCAGGGTGGCGGCCAGTGAGTGCGGACATTCCGCGGACTCCCAAACCGCTGCCGCCTTGCCTTGGCCCCGCTGCTTCACGGCAGGCGGCCGAGAGCGCTTGCCCGGCTCACGGCGTGCCAGGGGCGGGTGCAGCCAGCTCTGCCCCCAGGCCGGCAGGCAGGCTGCTCCAGGGCCCCTTCGCTCCGGCGCACCGTGGCTCCCGTGCTCAGGAGGGGTCCGGGCCAGCCTCTCACTGCCCACGCTCTTCACCGATCAGGTGTCACGCCACACACTGGACGGGCGAACTGGCATTTTTAGTGTTCCCATTTAGCAATGCGTATTTTTTCTTGTCCCGGACACCCGGGATTCCATGTTCTTGCCTTTAGATTTATTGCACATTCACTTTCGCAACCCCCACAAATGCGTCTGCAGCGCTTATTCATACAAGCGCACACATTAAGCCCCGTTAACTCTCTCATCCTAGCTCTCTCCTTGCATAAATAAAAGCCACTGTAGTGAATTATAGTACATAATTTACAAAATATAGTATTCAAAACTGAATAAAGATTTTAAGAAGCTATTAGTCAAATTACGGTCACTTAAATCTCGCTCCTATGAAGAGTTATCAAGGGATCCTTGAACTAATTGAGCTGTTTTGGCATATGGAAGACAACCTAAGGACCCATCTTCCCCCCCCCACCCGATCCCACCCCACGCCACAGGATCCTGACTGGTCCATCAATGCAAACGGGCTTTTCAAAGATAAATTTCGGTGAGACTTGGGGCCTCAGGAAAATGGCTGCATGGTAGAGGCTGCCATGCAAAGGGGGGGTGATGCCAGCCAGGCAGCTGCCAGCGCGAAACGGAGCCGTGCTCCAACTGTGCGGGGAGACCCCAGCGGGAGACCGGATCCCTTGCTCCTGCACGGTTAGGTTGCAGCTACCCGCCGGTGCCCCCTCAGGAGAGGCAGCCTCTTCCCTGGCACAGGGTCTGAGAGGCCAGGCATGTCTTAGCAAGCCTGCAAAATCCCACCGAGAGAGATCTGCCTGCTGCCTCACGTCTACAAATATTTTTCTCCTGGTTTTCTTCTTGTCTGGCACCTGCTGCACCAAGGGCTGTTCTTGTGCTTCAGTAAAAGTAGATTCCTTCTTTAAAAAACAAAAGAGAATTCTCTAAAGTAAACACCAAGCTGCTCATTTCAGGATAAGGGAACAGCTTTTCACTCAGGCCTATCCCAGCCCCACTGTTGCTGGAAGTACAAGTAAAGCAGTTACAAAGAACTTATGAAAAAGCATCTCTTGTAAAAAAGCAGACTAGTGTCTGATGGTGTTTTCTTTCACGAAAATAGCAGTAAAAAGAAGGCACTACTGCTTAAAGTTGCTTTAAAAATGCAACTTGGCCAGCCAAGCTGCAATGCACTGATACCTGCGCGCAGTCGCTTTGAACCATTTTTTGCATGCTGCAGCCCTCGAAAAGGTCTCCTCTTTAAAAAAGGCATTTGGAAAAAGCAAGGGCAGGAAACCTCAGCCGTACCGGCTTTGACTCAGTGCACAAGCCTCGGCTCATCGTTCTTGCTGCACGGAAGCACGTCAGCTTGGGCACGGCAAAAGAAAAAGGGCTTATCTTTTGTTTTCTAGCACTGTCAATCCGACATCCAGACCTCTGCTTCTGTCATCATTTCGACCAACGATTTTGTCTTCTAAGCAAGGAACCTTCTCGGCCAGCCACGGCTCGTGTGCCGCCAAACCAGGCCTTTCCGCGTTCTGGATGGAGGCGGGAAGGGTGGGCGCTTCTGTGTCTGCAACCACAGGACCAAAACCCTCCGCGACACCGGGACGTGCGGATGTGCCACAGCAGCCTCGGAGGACAGGGCTAGCAGACCAGCCCCTGGCGCATGCGGATGATCTGCAGCAAGGCAGCCTGAACGTCTTCGTCCATGTGGCCCTGCAAAAGAGGCAGAGGTGCTCAGCGCACGGTGTTGCGAGCGCGCCGGAGCGTCGCCCCGTCCTCCTCCGTTCTTGCAGGGCGGCTGCGCAGCCCCAGCCCAGACCGTGTGACCGCCCAGAAAGCGAGGGAGCGCGCTGGGTTTCCAGCTGCGGATTCTGCCCCTTGGCGGCAGGGACACTGCACTGGTGGAACGAGAGAAGCCGCGCAGTGCAGCTTGCGGGCCTGATTCCTTTACGGGTTCCCAGAAGAGGCTGGCCGGGGATTGCTCAAGCTGGACGGACAGACGGACGGACAGACAGCCCACGGAACAGACTGACAGGTCGCAGCAAAACCCACCTGAACAGCACTAAGAAGGTGCGTCCGATATGTGGAGATGACCTCCTGGTGCTGCCTCTCAGCATCCTAGGATGAAGGAGCATCCGGTCATTTTCCAGCTGCATTTGCAGCAGCCTCTGGCCCCCTTGGCTCGTCACGGGGCAGAACGGGATGCTGCGGAGGGGGCCAAGGGAAATGCCCCCATTCGCAAGCACAGCTGGCGCCAGCCGAGGACCGGAAGGCCCGCCTCGCCTGCCCGCCGGGCGCTGTGGGGCCGGGCGCTGCCGCCCACACGCATGCCCGGCACGTGGGACGGCGGGGGCGCCACACGGGCTGCCTTCCCGCCGCTTCTGCTCCCGTGCGCCCACAGCCCTGGCGAGGAGCCGCCTGCCGCGGCGCACTACTTACAGCCAGCTGCTGCTGCAGGGCCTTCACCTGGGTCTGGAGCGTCTCGACCTGCGAGGCCTGCCTCTTGGCGGCAGGGAGGCTGCCGTTGTACGTCAGCTGGGAGAGACCGTGCAGGGCCTGTTTCAGCCGCTCCACGTCGTTCAGCAGCTCCGTGATCTTCGAGACAGACCGGGCCGGGGGTGAGCAGGCACTTTGCGAGGGGCTTCGGCATCTGGGGGAACGGCCCGCGCCGTGCCCCCCGTGCCTGCTCCCCCGCCCGCCGTAGCACACGCAGGCACTTGCAGGGCAAGCACAGCTGGCTCCCGGGCAGCCCCCCACGGGTGTTGCGGGCGCATCGTGGGCCGCGAAGCGCCATGCCACAAATGGGCCAGCACCACAGGGCCGGTGTGGGAGAAGGGCCGCCCTGGCCGCGAAGGCGCAGAACGGATGCCGCCGATACGGAATGCTTGCTCAGGTCTAGCGAGGAGGAGAGCTGTACCCGCTTTTACTTCTTAGGTGCGGCCCGCAAAATGGTTTTTTTCCCTAAGCTATGGGGATCAGAATGCGGCTCTGGGATGGATTCGGACGGCCGACTTTCCCTATACAGTGAAAACTGACCACTGAAGCAGGTTTTAAAGAGATTTAACAGTCCTGGAAGCCACAATTAATGCTCATTAGAGATGGCCAATTTGTGGGCAGTTGTATCCAGGAGGAAAGCCAGTCAGAAGCATTCTGAGAAAATTTAAAGAACTAGGTGCATCCCTTCTGACACCCACCTTGTGCTTATTCCCACATCCATTGGTGCGGGATCAAGTGATGGACCTGAGAAATGAGGGCGCCCCTTCTCCACTCACTTGCCCATTTCAAGGGGCGGCTCAAGCAGTGGGTCTGAAGAGGGACCCCTCCATCTGTGGCCTCACGCGCTGTTCGCTTAGCCGGGAGACCTCGCAGCCCCCGCCCCACGGCCCTGCCCACCTTGTTATCCTTCGCCTCCACCTGCTTCGCAGACTCCTGCATTCTCTTCTGCAGCTCCACGATGGTGCTCAGGGACTTGTCGCATCGCTCCTTCTGGTCCTTGATTTCCTGCTCGATACTCACGCTCCTGGGCTGCAGCAGCTCCTTCTCATCTTTCACAGGAAGCTCCTCTGCCTTTCCCTGCCGAGCCTCTTCCTGCATCCCCTCCAGCTCCTTGCCCAGCTTGGCCAACTTCTCCGCCATGCTCAGCACCTGGCCCTCCAGCCGGCACGTCACCGCCTTGTGCTCCGACAGCTCCACCACTTCCCTGGCCTCCAGCTCCTTCAACGCTCGCTTGGCGCTCTGGAGCTCGGACTGCAGCCGGGAGATCTCCTCGCGCCTCACTCGGCCTTCCGCCTCCTCCTCTCTCAGGGTGGATCTCGCGGCAGACACTTCCCTCTCCAGAGCCCCTCTCACCCGCTCGTGCTCTGCCAGAGGCACGGAGGCGGCCCTGAGCTGCTCCAGCTCCTGCCGCAGCGCCTGCGCGTTCCGGCGCTCCTGCTCGCAGCGCGCCGTCTCGCGGCCCAGCTCTCCCCGCAGCCCCTCAATGGTGCCTTCCAGCCGCTGCTCCAGGCCTTCCGCCTGCTCCACCGGGAGGGACCGGCCCTGCAGGCACCCCTGGGCCTCCAGCGCCTCCGCGCGCAGCCGGGCACACTCCTCCTGCAGGTGCCCCTTCTCCTGCTCCGCCTCCGCACAGCTGTGCTGCAGCTCCCTCAGCTGCCTGCTCAGGCCCTCCAGCCGGCCCTCCAGCACCCTCTCCGCCTCCCGGGCCGCCTTAGCCGGGACGTAATTCTGCTGCAGGTCCGTCTGGAGCGCCAGGACCTCGGCCCGCAGCTTCTCGTTGTCCTGACTCCGCGCCTTGAGCTCCTCCTCCTTTTCTCGGTGCTGCTGCTCCTTCTGCAGCAGCTGGCTTTTCAGCTCCTTCACGGTGGTCTCGAAATGACGCTCCTTCTCCTCAAGGTTGATGAGAGGGGCGTATTTGGACCTGATGCACTCCTGGATCGTGTCCAGCTCCTGCTTCTGGGCTCCCACCTCGGCATGCAGCTGGGCAACCTCGTCTTGCTTCTCCTTATATTTTGCCTGCATTGCGGAACTGCTTTCCCGGAGTTCCTGAATGGTCTTGTTCAGAACGGCGACCACCTCGTTGTGCTTCTGTCTGCTCAGATATTCAGATTCGATCTGGCTCCGAAGGGCTCCCAGCTCCATTTTTAGTGCCCCGTTCTCTTCATTTACTCCAGCAAGCTCCTGTTTGACCACGACCATTTCCCCCTTCAGATCTGTCAGCTCCTGGCCCGCTTTTTCCAGCAAGCTGTTCAAGGCAGCCTGGGTTTCCTTGTGAGCTTCGACTGGAACATACCGCTCTTTCATGACATTTTGAAGAGTTTCATTTTTGGATGCCAGTTCAAATGCTTTGGCTTGCTCCCCTTTATGTTTCTGGCCAAGCTCGGCCAGCTGCCTCTTCAGGTCTGACACAGTGGCTTTTAAGGCTTCGTTTTCCTTCTCGTGTGTTTCCAGGGGGATGTGGGCTGTTTGAAGCCGACCAACTGTCTCCCTTAAGCAGGCCTTTTCGGCCAGCAACTTCTCCGATTCTGCCTTGCTCCTGTGATACTTCTCTGTAACCTCCGCGAGCTGTCTGTTCAGCTCCCCGGCTGCGGCATCGCTCGCCTTCTTCATCTCCTCACTGACTTTCAAGGGCACGTACTGCGTCCTCATCTCGCTCCGGAGCGTGCCCACCTGCTGCTTCAGCAGGCTGCTGCTGGCGTTGGCCCTCTCCACCTCCTTCTGCAAGGCCTGGTTTTTATGCTTCAGCTCCGCGTGGGCTCGCTCAAGTTCTTTGGCTCTTTGCTCATACCGACTCTTCACATGCCTGAACTCCTCTGGCCGAACGTACTGGGCAAACTGAGCTTTCTGACTCTCCAGTTCTGTTCTCAGCGCCTGCACTTCCGTGCTCAGCTTCTCCCGCTCCTTCTCCATTTCGGCCAACTTCCAGCTCTTTTCATCAATTTCAACGGACAGCGAGCTCTTCATCTTCTCAAACTTGTCCGTGAGCCTCGCGGCAGTTTCCTTCAGCTGGCTTTCCGATTCAGAGACCCTCCTCTCGCTGTTTTCGTGCTCCGTCCTCAACATGCCGAGCTCCTTCTGCACCTTCTTGTTCTCTTCCACCAGCCTGGCCTCATCTCTCCTGAACTCTTCCACCAACAGCTCGTTCTGCTTCAGCTGGTTCCGCAGCTTGCCCACTTCGGCGGAGGCGCCCTCGTACTTGGCCTTCACGTCCCTCAGCTCCTCCGCCATCTTGCTGTTCCCCGCCACGGCTTCACTGGTCAGGTGATCCTTCAAGGCGAGGAAATGGGCCTGCATCTGCTTCACTTTCCCTTCCGAGTCAAACATTCTCTTCTGCACATCTTTTAAGGCGTCCTCCAGCTGCTTTATCTGTCGGTCCGACTCCAGCTTGGTTCTCTCGCACTCGGACGCCAGCGCTTTGCACTCCGCCGCTTTGTGGGCCAGCTCCAGCTGCAGCTTGCCCACGTCCGCTCTTGCTGCCTCGTAGCAGCTCCTCATGCTGCTGAGCTCTCGCTTCAGGGCCTCCGTCTCGGAGGCGGAGGACTGGCTCAGGAGCTCCAGGGGCCGCACCATGGACCGGCTCTGTGAGCCGGCAGGCGCGGAGGCAGGGGCGTGCTGCAACGACACACACACAAACGCATTACTTTCAGAAAGGCGCTTCTTCTAAACACTGCTTACATACAATGTGAGCGCCTCCGGCTGGCTCAGTGGCCGTGAACAAGGTCCAGGGCCCATCATTCCCGGGAAAGGAAGCTGGGCCAGGAAGGAGGCTGGCCTAGGGGCCCCCTGATGCTCAGAGAAAGGGGCACTGGAGTCATGGGCCACGTGCTCCTCAGGATACTTCCTGAAGCGGACACTCCCCACCAGCAGGTCGAATGTGTTGAGCACAGCCGGTTAACTGGAATGGCTCAGCTGCACAAGTGGGTCAGCAGCTTAGCTTATTTTGCACGCCTGGGAAAGGGCAGCCTTGCCGTTTCCACCTATTCTGGCCCAAGCGTAAGGGCCGCATCCTGGAAGGGCATGCCGTCCCTTCCATGACCTGTGCCAGACTGCAGAGCCCGGCCCGCCATCTTCTTTTGCCCATTCCTTCCATCTGGAAGCACTGTACTAACTTTGCTCCCAAGGAGCTGCCCACGGGAACGCTGAAAGAGGAAGCCCAGGTCAAAGGGCTGCGGAGCCTCAAGAGGACAGTAAGCAGCCAGCCCGCGACACCTCGCTGTGCCAAAAACCACCCCAAAGCGAGCCCTTGCTGTGGAGGATGCCGACCGTGCACGCCCACCTGCGGTCCGGCGGGGTATGCGGAGTCCGACTTGAGCAGCGCTGCTTCCTTCCCTTCAGAGAGACAAAACATGTTCACCGTTTTATCCGACAACCCAAAATAAAGACGTCCACCCCACCTTTTCCCACGAGAGTAAGTCTGTTGCAGCAAAAAGCCGAGAGCCATGCAGCACCTCAAAGGCTTGACAAATGGATGGTGACAAACTCTTTTGGGAACCGCCTCTGCTTATTTGAGTGTATCTACACCCACGGACCGTAACTGCAGGTGGGACGGCAATGAGCAAACAATGACACGGGGATGGAAAAGTTGGGACTTCCTGGAATGGTGGTCCTTCTTTCAAGAAACAGGTATACTCACTATTACCAAAACCGCTTCCAGATTCACCGTGGTCACCCTGAAATTAAAATGAAAGGCACCGTGGTTCAGACAGATGAGATAATGGGCAAAGTGCCTGCAAAAAGCAGCACAGCGCTTCTTAGAACGAACCCTCCAACTGGCAGATCCATCTGGGGTGCTTCCAGATGAAGCGCCCAAGACGCCTGCTGCATTCTGGGTGCTGACTGAGAGGCCCAGGAGGCCTTCCCGTGGGCTGGAGGTTCCCACTGCAGCCCTTCACCCAGCTGCAGATGCCAGGTCCCACTAACTGGGGAGGGCGGCTGGAAAGAGCCACGGCTGCCCCCTTCTCAGGCACTTGCCTCGTAGAATCTCAGCTTCAGCTTCAGGGCTTCCAGCAGTCGCCCGCTTTCCTCCTGCTGCTTCTCCTTTGCTGCCAGAAGCCGCCTGAGCTCATCCTTCTGGAAGTGAGCAAAAGAACATCCTTATGGGCCCTGCCTGGCAAGGTGGAAGCACCAAGGAAAAGCCACGCGACATCCTGTGGGAAGGAAGTCGGGGAAGGGCCGGCGGTGGCGAGGTCATTTTCTGGGGCAAGGCCCTGCGGGGGTTGACACACACCGGACCTAAATAAAACCAGGACCTGGGGACAAATGGACCTGCCACATACGGATGGGTTTTATTGCAGCTGACTTTAGAAAAAAGTGCAATTTTAACAACAAAAGCCAAAACAAACAAGAACAAAAAAGCATATCCTTTCTCGGTTATTATTTACAATGCCTTTAATTTAAAAATTCCACACTTCTGTTTCAAACATATACATTAGCTGAGCACAGCTCAGTGTGGTGAGCAGGACTGAGAATGTCAAGGAAGCCAAGAGCAATGCTGCCAGGAGGCCAGGGCACTTTCATTAGCAGGTAGAAAGGACGTGGTGCAGGCACCAGACTAAGATGCATCTGCCCTCCTCATGAGTAACGATCACGTCAGAAAGACCGCCTCTCCCCTGCCAGGCTGGGAGGCACGGTATGAGCTACTGGGGAAGGGAGAAGGACAAAGACAAGAGCTGCCAATGACCCTCCCAGATCAAACCCAAAAAGGAAGTCTAGTCTAGTGTACGCAGGAGGAAGGGAAGTTCTGTGTTCACAGCACTTCCGAAGGAAGTAAGGTGGGTGGCTACCCGGAGCAGGGCCTTTCCAGTTGTGGCATCCGAGCTGCGGAAGCAGCTCCCTAAGGAGGGGCGCTTGGTGCCTACTCTGTATTCCTTCTGGTCCCGGGTGAAGCCCTTTTAATTTTCTCAGCATTTTAACAGTTTAACTCTTAAACTTTATTTCTAATACTGCCTTTGAGCCTGTAACATTGGTATGCTTCTGTGCTGTGGTTCTGTGGTTTTCTGTTAATTTTTTTTTGGCTGGTTTTTGTTGTTTGGCCGTTGATAACCACCCAGACAGCCTCAGCTATTGGGTGGTATAAAAATGAGATAAATAGGACTGCCATGGGTGCAGAGAACTTGACAGCACATAGCAAGAGCATAAACAAGTCTGCATCTTTAAATATGCATCAAGACGAAACTGATGGGCAGGAAAGCAGGAAGAACAAGGTGACCTGATTCTGACCTTGCATAAGTCAGCAAGCTTTGTGCACAAATTTCATCGTGAGAGCAGTGAGTGGCTAATGCTGAGCCTAACAATGAAGGAAAGTTTATAATTCCACACACATTTCAAAGCAATGTTAGGAAGTAAAATATTAACTCCTTTAGGTTCCGATTTCTAACAAATTGATCAGGACAGTAAGGATGCACATTTCCTTTACCTCACTTTCGAGATCATCAGCAACCATTTGCTCCTGTAAAACAAGAACACAAACATGGGCCTAAACCACACTTAAAGAATATATTTTGTGCAGAAAGGTTATTGCTAATGGTCAAAGGCCAGCATTTTTTTCTGTTGCCACCTTTCACTCACATGTCTCCCTGAATGCACACAAGCAAAAGGCCACCGATTTTGCTGAAGAAAGCCTTCCCCTTGGTTGCGGCAACCTGTTGTGGGGGAGCCTCTCCTCAGCAGAGACCGGGAAATGCTCCGGACTGTGGCAGGCTGGACGGGAGCAAGCGCAGGCCGGCCCCGGAGGGAACTCTGTCGGAGCTTGCGAGAGAACTGGGGTGGGCTGTGGTTCCACTTCCGGCAGGACCGTGACCCTCAACACGCAGCCAGCCTCACACTGGAGTGAAAAGCTGAAAGTGAACCACTGGAGTGAAAGGCCTGAAAGCTGCTCCTCACCGACGGTCCCCATCCACCCTCATACAGCAGGAGCAGTTTTGTCAGGAAAAATGGATAAATATTGCAGGATCCGGATGTGCAAAGCTGGCGGACTTTCCCCCGAAGACACAGCTGAAACTGCTGCTCAAGCTGCTTCAATCAAGTATGGAGTCTCGGGGGGGGGGGGCAGAGAACAACACAAGTCTGCGACCAACAAGTGCCACTTGGTTTTATGCACTTCACTTTTGTACCTCGTGGAAATACTTTGCACCTCCGTGTTGAGTATCTTGTGCGTGCCAAGCCAATCCCTTTCCATTTCAGTTTGGAACACAACAAAACATCGCAAAGGGAGGGGAATGCTTCTGCAAAGCATTGCATTTGAAGCAGCTCGATCCCCTTACGCTAGCAGAATGTATTCACACTTAATGCAGCCCCACATGCAGCAGCTGGCGAAGGGCTCAAACCTTGGGTCACTCGGTCCAAAGACCTGCAATCCTGGAGCAAGATTTCTTTCCTCAGGTGACGGTGGTGGGGTGTGAAAGGAAGGCCTGGGCTGTCTGAGTGGCAGCCGAGGGTGGGAGCCGCACAAGCTCCGATGCCACAGCTGGGTGCCCACATTCACAGTAGCGTCCATGGAATCGTGTGGTACCACCTACTGACTGACTGACTGAGACTGAGAAAGCGTGAAGCTGAGGAATCCAGGCATCTGCCTTGATCCAAAAACAAGGATCAGCATTTTGACCTCGACAGCCCTCAACGCCACATTCAAGTTTAATTTCATTTAATGCTTAATATTACTGAGTTACTGAGCTCTACTTTAAAATATTGGCCTACATTGTATTTGATGCTTTTAAAGTTGGCCTAAATAATCGACATACTTTATGGCTGAACAGAGGGGGAAGTCTTAATTGCTTTGTCAATTTCACTGATACTGGATGAAAGCAGTAGCCTACATTTAAAAAAAAATCAGTTATCTTGTCCCTTGAAACTAATTTTTTTTTTAAACTTCTGGATTTCTTGTAATAGCAGTTAACTTTCAAGTGACTCAGAAATGGAATGCTATGCTATGCTATGCGAGTCGCAAAGCCATGTCCAACCCATCGCGACCCCATGGACAGCATTCCTCCAGGCTCCCCTGTCCTCCACCATCCCCCGGAGTTCACCTAAGCTCACGCCGACTGCTTCAGGGACTCCATCCAGCCACCTCATCCTCTGCCGTCCCCTTCTCCTTTTGCCATCAATCCTTCCCAGCATCAGGGTCTTTCTCCAGGGAGTCCTTCCTTCTCATTAGGCGGCCCAAGCATTTGAGTTTCATCTTTAGTATCTGGCCTTCTAAAGAGCAGTCAGGGTTGATCTCCTCCAGGACTGACTGGTTTGAACAGGAATCTGTATGTTACGGTAGGGGATATTCTCGCCATGGATAAATTTAATTTAAGAACACTAATCCTCGGAACACTAATGATTTTCTGAAGAAGCCATATTCCTTTCCAGCAAAAGCAGACTGGAACTAGGCAGGCGGCTGTGAAAGCAAGTGAGAGGGCCGAGCCGCCCGAGCCGTGACAACTGCAGCCTGCACGTTGTTACCTCATTCAGCTGTAGCTGCAGTCCATTGATGCGATCCAGTAGGATTCGGTGCTCCTGCTGAATCTCCCTCAATCTGCCTTTTAAGTCTTCATTCGCTCTTTCCAATTCCTAGAAGACGAGAAGCAGTGTCATCACTTACCCCGGACTCTGGAGCGGGAGAGTCCGGGTGCGTCCGGGTGCCCAGCGCTAGGAGGCACCAGCCAGAAGCAGGGCAAGTGGCCCGGAATAGCTGTCCTTCCTCGCCTGAGTTCTTGGAAGCTATCAGCACTCCAAGCCTGTCAACGACTAACGAACGGCTCTCAGCGGTGCTTAATTCCGAGACTTTTCCTCGCCTGTGGCTGCAAAACCAGGAGCTTTTCCACTTGCACAGGGCGAAATGCAGCCACTCTTAGAGCTGCCAAGCACAAAATTGCTCCACCCCAGCACTGTTTAGCCAGGAAGAATGGCCATTTCTTATGCCCAAAGTTAAGGGAAAAGCTATTAAGAGGCCTCAGCATAGCCCATTGCCAGCTGCCTTTGAATTTATCACTAAGGAAAATTAGTGAAAATCTAAGCAAATCTAGGCCACCAAAGCCTCTCAGCTGAAGGTTCGTGCGACATCCGAGAAACGAAGGTTGACAGACAAGGGAATGGCCCCAAAGTGGTCCTTGTGAAGGTCTTCTGCTTCACCTTACGTGCCCCAAGCACAGCAACATGCAAGGGGAAGCGGTGCAACGCAAACCAGAGCCTAAATAATTGCATGTGCACCGCACTTCCTTCAGCGGGCCACCCGTTCAGCTTTTGTACCACAGATACTGCAAGGAGTTTGTGAACTAATCAAGTGTCTTCCCGAAATGTCCAGTCAGAGCTTCCTGAAACCTGCTTCCTGGAGGACACCATGCCTGCAGCTGGGGACACTCTGTTCACCTGTACGTTCCGGTGCTCCTTCTGATACGGCTTAAAGCTTGCTTCCTCCGAGACACTTGGCTGGCTCCATTTTGGCAGCACCTGCACGCAACAGTGAAACAGAGAACTCTCTAAGCAACACGGTTCACCCCCAGCAACCACCGTGAGAAAGAGCACGAGTTCTCCCACCAGAAACAGCTGTGCAGCAACGGACACCCCCCGCCATTCGTCCAGTTCTTCTCAGGCAGCAGCACTTGTGCTCCCAGCAGCCTCAGAGCCACTGAGGCGAGAGCAGGCACAGGCCCAGCGAGCAGGGCTCCCCCGCTTCCAAAAAGATGGCGATGCCAGCACGGCAAAACCTTCCTTGCGCGCAGAAGCTGCCCACACGACCGAGTGGGCCAGAGTCCTCACGACCACCCTCCAAGAAGTCAAGCCAGCGTCAGGCCGAACCCTTACCTTCTGTGCAGGCTGCCCTTTCTTCATGACTTCGTAACTTGCTGAAAAACAAAAGGCAAATACCTCGTTCTATTCAAGCGTTCCACTCAAGTTCATGATGACATTTAGACAAAATTTAACATACCCCCAATAAGCTAGGAAGAAATGTATCAATTTGCTATGCATTAACATTTTATATCCTATATAAAATCAAGTTAAGTCTTGGATTTTAAAAGGGTTCCCCCGAAGGGAAGAGACTGAAGGAGAATAATCAGCAAATTCCATAAACAAACTCTTGGCAAACTGAACGAATGGACCACCCTATTTCAAAACCATATTTAACGTCCTGTGCGAAATACCAGGCCCAGCCTTGCCAGGAGTCAGGAGAGAGCGATTCCGCGGGCATCCCCCACTTCCCAAGGATACAGACGCACCTTTGTTGGATTCCTCGAGAGCCGCCTTGACTAGAGCCAGGATTCCAACATTGTCACCGATCCGTGCATAGTAGGAACAGTCGTGGCCGAGGCCATCCACCAGAGTGACATCTGCGCCATTCCTGAGCAAAACTTCCACGGCATCCTTGCAGCCATATTCGCAGCCTAGCATCAGAGCAGTTCTGGATGTCGGGGAGGAGAATCAGAGGTCCGCGTTAGGGATCTGAGGCAAAGAAAGCACCTGCAGGGGCTCTGTGCGACGTTGCTTTATTGAGTGGGTCCTCAAGCTACGGCCGGCGGGCCTGACCTGGCCTGCTATGCTGGTTTATCCAGGCCTCCTCAGAGCTTTTGGGCTCGCTTGGAGAAAACGATCTCCAAGTGAGACCAAAAGCTCTGGGCCAGCACAGGTGTACTCAGTGGGGAGATGGCCGTGATTGTGGTTGCGCTGGGGGGGCGGGGGGGCTGCGATCGTGCCCGCCTTCCCTGCATGATTGTGCTGGGCGGGGTGGGAATGGCTGTGATCACAGTTGTGCTCATGCAGGTAAGACGGGCGTGATTGTGGTCATGCCAGGTGGGGGAGGAGATGGCCGGGATCATGCCCACTTTCCCTGCACAAGCAGGACTGCAGTCACACCCACCTTCCCTGCACGAGCACGATCACGTCCATCTCCCCCCCCCCCCCCCCCCCCCCCCCCCCCACGAGCACGATCACGGACTTTGTAACCATGTCCCTGGAATATGGACATGCTCTTCCCCACCACATCTTGAGCTTCTGCTGCAGCCCAAGCGATTGGAGCAAACATTTGTTAAAATTTTTATTCATTATTTTTTTAAATGTCAATTGACCTAAATTTCAATTAATTTTTAATTTATTTTGATTTTCATTAATTTTAATTTCAATTAATTTTTAAGTTATTTTAATTTCAAGTACTCCTTCATGAATCAGTGCCTTGCCGTGGCGAAGGGGCTTGCATAGCTCAATGAAGCTGTGAGCCATGCTGTGCCGGGCCACCCAAGACAGACAGGCCACAGCAGAGAGCTCTGACAAAACGTGATCCACCAGAGAAGGAAATGGCAACCCACTCCAGTATCTTTGCCATGAAAACCCCATGGACAGTACCAAAAGGCAGAAAGATATGCCACCGGAAGATGAGCCCCTCAGGTCGGAAGGTGTCCAGTGTGCTACTGGGGAAGAGCAGAGGGCTAGTACTAGCAGCGCCAGAAAGAGTGAAGCGACTGGGTCAAAGCCGAAAGGACACTCCGTTGCGGATGTATCTGGTGGTGAAAGGAGAGTCCGATGCTGCAAAGATCTATATTCCATAGGAACCTGGATTGTAAGATCCATGAATCAAGGCAAGCTGGATGTGGTCAAACAAGAGGTGACAAGATTGAACATCGACATCTTAGGAATCAGTGAACTAAAATGGACAGGAATGGGTGAATTTACCGTATTTTTTGCTCTATAAGACGCACTTTCCCCCCCTCAAAAGTAAGGGGAAATGTCTGTGCGTCTTACAGAGCGAATATGTGTGTGCAGTAAGTCTGTCAGATGTGCAACCCATGGGGAAGTGATGGGGAATGTGCCTGTGATTATGTGCCCATTTGATTCAGAATATTTTTTTTTCTTGTTTTCCTCCTCTAAAAACTACATGTGTCTTATGGTCAGGCGCATCTTATAGAGCAAAAAATATGGTAATTCAGATGACCATCAGGTATGCTACTGTGGGCAAGAATCCCTCAGAAGAAATGGAGTAGCCTTCATAGTCAGTAAAAGAGTAGGAAAAGCAGTACTGGGATACAATCTCCAAAATGACAGAATGATCTCAGTTCGAATCCAAGGCAAACCATTCAACATCACAGTAGTCCAAGTCTATGCCCCAACCACTGGTGCTGAAGAGGCTGAAGTTGACCGGTTCTGTGAAGGCCTACAACACCTTCTAGAATTAACACCAAAAAATGATGTCCTTATCATCATGGGGGATTCGAAATTATGTTCTCATCATGGGGGATTGGAATGCTAAAGTAGGGAGCCAAAAGATAACCGGAATAACAGGCAAGTTTGGCCTTGGAGTACAAAATGAAACAGGGCACACACTGGGAGAATTTTGTCAAGAGAGTACGATGGTCATAGCAAACACTCTTTTCCAACAGCCCAAGAGACGCCGCTACACATGGACATCACCAGACGGTCAACACAGAAATCAGATTGACTATGTGCTCTGCAGCCAAAGATGGAGAAGCTCTATGCAGTCAGTGAAAACTAGGAGCTGACTGTGGCTCAGACCATAAGCTTCTTGTTGCAAAATTTAGGCTTAAATTGAAGAAAGTAGGGAAAAGTACTAGGCAACTCAGGTATGACTGATATCATATCCCTGATGAATATACAGTAGAGGTGACAAATAGATTTAAGGAATTAGATCTGATAGACAGAGCGCCTGAAGAACTATGGATGGAGGTTCACAACATTGTACAAGAGGTAGCAACTAAAACCATCCCAAGAAATGCAAGAAAGCAAAATGGCTGTCTGAGGAAGCTTTACAAATAGCTGCGGAAAGAAGGGAAGTGAAAGGCAAGGGAGAAAGGGAAAGATATACCCAATTGAATGAAGAATTCCAGAGAATGGCTAGAAGAGATAAGAAGGCCTTCTTCAATGAACAGTGCAAAGAAATAGAAGAAAACAATAGAATAGGGAGGAACAGAGATCTCTTCAGGAAAATTGGAGATATTAAAGTTTCATGCAAATATGGGCATGATAAAGGACCAAAATGGCAGGGACCTAACAGAGGCAGAAGAGATTAAGAAGAGGTGGCAAGATTACACAGAAGAACTATTCAAGAAAGACCTTAACGTCCCTGATAACCATGATGGGGTGGTCACTAACCTTGAGCCAGACAATCTGGAATGTGGAGTCAAATGTGCCTTAGGAAGTCTGAGCAACAACAAAGCTAGTGGAGGCAACAGCATTCCAGCTGAGCTATTCAAAATCCTAAAAGACGATGCAGTAAAAGTGCTACACTCAATATGCCAGCGAATTTGGAAAACTCAACAGTGGCCGCAGGATAGGAAAAGGTCAGTTTACATTCCAATTCCAAAGAAGGGCAATGCCAAAGAATGTTCAAACTACCGCACCATTGCACTCATTTCACATGCTGGCAAAGTGATGCTCAAAATCCCACAAGCTAGGCTCCAGCAGTATGTGGACCGAGAACTGCCAGAAGTACAGGCAGGGTTTTGAAGAGGCAGAGAAACTAGAGATCAAATTGCCAACATACTCTGGATCATGGAGAAAGCTAGGGAGTTCCAGAAAAACATCTACTGCTGCTGCATTGACTATGCTAATGCCTTTGATTGTGTGAATCACAGTAAATTGTGGCAAGTTCTTAAAGAGATGGGAGTACCAGACCATCTCATTTGTCTCTTGAGAAACCTATATGCGGGTCCAGAAACAACAGTGAGAACTGGACATGGAACCACTGATTGGTTCAAAATTGAGAAAGGAGTTCGGCAAGGCTGCATACTGTCGCCCTGTCTATTTAACTTATATGCGGAGCACATCATGAGAAAGGTGGGCCTAGATGAATCACTAGTTGGAATTAAGATTGCTGGGAGAAATATCAACAACCTCAGATATGCAGATGATACCACTCTAATGGCACAAAGTGAAGAGGAACTAAAGAGCCTCTGATGCAGGTGAAGGAGGCGAGTGCAAAAGTTGGCTTGAAACTCAACATTAAGAAAACGAAGGTCATGGCATCCGGTCCTCTCACTTCCTGGCAAATAGGTGGGGAAGAAATGGAGGTAGTGACAGATTTTATTTTCCTGGGCTCCAAGATCACCGCAGACGGGGACTGCAGCCAAGAAACTAAGATGCTTGCTCCTGGGGAGGAAAGCTATTGCAAATCTAGACAGCATACTAAAAAGCAGAGACACCACCCTGCCAACAAAAGTGCATATAGTCAAGGTGATGGTTTTCCCAGTGGCAATGTATGGCTGTGAAAGCTGGACCATAAGGAAGGCTGAGCACCGAAGGGTTGAGGCCTTTGAATTGTGGTGCTGGCGGAGACTCTGCGAGTCCCTTGGACTGCAAGGCGATCCAACCGGTCAGTCCTAGAGGGGATCAACCCCGACTGCGCTTTAGAAGGCCAGATCCTGAAGATGAAGCTCAAATACTTTGGCCACCTAATGAGAAGGACGGACTCCCTGGAGAAGAGCCTAATGCTGGGAACAATAGATGGCAAAAGAAGGAGGGGACGGCAGAGGATGTGGTGGCTGGATGGAGTCGCTGAAGCAGTTGGTGTGAGCTTGGGGGGACTCCGGGGGATGGTGGAGGACAGGAAGGCCTGGAGGAATGTTGTCCATGGGGTTGCAATGGGTCGGACACAACTTTGTGACTAACAACAATTTCAATTAATTTTTAATGTGCAGTGTGCATAGGAATTCGTTCATATTTTTTTCAAACTATAGTCCAGCCCCACAAGAGTCTGAGGGACAGTGAACTGGCCCCATTTAAAAAGTTTGAGGACCCGTTGGATTGACTTGAGAGGAGGAAGTAAATAGAATGCCCTTTTTAGGATGCACGCAAATCCCAAACCTTGCAAAAGTGGGGGCAAAGGGGACTTTCAGTATGTAAACCATGTTGATGGAAGCGTTATCATAAACTGAAGGGGCTGAAAGAGTTTTCCGTCAGCAAAATTTCCTCACATTATTAGTGGCTGCATTGCTAATTTTCCTATGTAGAGAACTTACATAAACTCAGCAGGTGTAATCCTTCTCTTTCCCTCTTTTTAAACATAAAACTCCTGATTTAAGATGTTTTCCTGAAATGCGATCTACTCTTTGTAACATGCGGTCTGTTGATAGAGAGAACGGGTTGTGCCTTGGGTTGCTAACCAAGTTTGGTTTGAACAAACCATCATTTGCAGAGTTGAGGCACAACAGCAAAACTGCTTTCGTATTTCTATATCCCTCTGGACCAAAGGAGGAGGAATGTGGAAGCCCACCATCTGTGCGACAATGCAGATTCAGCAAGCAGACCGTGGTTTGTTGTTAGACCTGCAATCTGTGCAGTGCTGGGCACCCTAGGTCAATTTATCTATCTTATTTTATTTATCTTAATATTTATATACCAGCCCATTCCCATAGACTCTGGGAAGTTTACAAGAAATTAAACCTACAGAAAGGATGCATTAATTACTTGGCCAATTAAATGGAGCAGCGAGAATGTTGCTATTTTGGAGCAAATTCTACCACATTGGATAGAATGAAAGACGCGCATGTCGGAAAGGCCAGAGGGTTCCCTGCGAAGCCGCAAGCCCCCTGCCCTCGCACACAAACGCATTACCGGTTCTGTTTGTCTCGGGCGTTGACGTCAGCGCCTCTGTCCAGCAGGAGCTGGCAAATGAGCGGATGGCACATCTGGGTGGCCAGCACCAGCGGTGTCCTTCCATCCTAGAGGGAAGGAAAGGGCATGCAGCAGCCGGCCGACTCTCCCAGGGCAGGAGGGAGGCGTCTGCATGTGTCAGCGCAGGACTTACTGTGTCTTTGGCGTTCACCGAGGCTCCGTGGTCACACAGCAGCTGTATGCTCGATGAGCAATCTGACATCGCTTTAGGGAACAGAGGAGGGCCACACCGTTAGGCTACTCTTTGTTGTCAACCTCTGTGCGACGCTCCCGGCCTGCCCTGCCGATGTACTGAAGCGTTTGGCTTCAAGGTACAACAGTGGCACTTTCAGCTCAGGCTCAGCCAGGATGCGGCCCTTTAAAAGAACTGAAATCCCAACAAGTGGCTGGCCAGGATCTTCTGTCCCATGGCAAATCACAGGCAGCATCTTCACTGTGAAGAAAGATGTCTGTGCAGTCTGTCAGCCCATCCGTATCCTAGGCACCTCGTCTACCTATCCATGTTTCCATCCATAATTGGGGCACCGAGATGTGAAGGAAGAGAGAACCAGCCTCTTCCAAGTGTCCCTGGCCCATGCCTGGAAGACCTGCCTAGCCAGAGCTGCAACTGAGGGGCTCTTCACAACCACAACTGAACATTGTCCTCATCAGTTGCCGCACAGGGGGAAACGGCTCTTACCTGCATCGTGAAGAGCAGTTCGGCCCTGCAAATCCACATTTTCTGTCGGGCAGTTGTACTGTTGGGACAGCCAAAGACAGTTCATCAGCACTAGACCAACACTCATGCGTCCCAACTTTTACGGCTAGATTCCTCACAGTGGTGGCATCGCACAACAAAAATGAGATTCGCGAGGCTTCCTAAGTAAGAGTCAGCTCCAGAATGTTAAAGGGGAGGTTCAGCCAGGTAAATCAAAGCACCAGGAGGCTGCTCTGGACGGTGACAGAGCAGTGACCCGCCTGGTTCAAGACCGGCTGCCGATAACGGGCAGCGGCAGCTCCCCAGGGTCCGCCAGGGACCTTCTGAGGCCAAACGTGTTCCCTCCCTTCCTCAAAAGCACCGCACTGACCTTGCTGCACCATGCTACACACCAGCAGAGGGTGTTACATATTTATTTTTGCTCTTTCAAAGAAAGATCCGCAGCTATCTGTGTGTCTCCTTGGATTTCCCAAACAAGCCCTTTGAGGATAAGGCTGGCAGGCTCAAAACTCTGCAATTTCTGGCAGTTTGTGAGTTAATGACCTGCCACTCTTTACCATCACACCTTCTTACATGCATCACTTCATTCGTCAAGCATTCGATACCTGCAGGAGTTTTTGCAGACAAAGTGCATGCCCATATTTTGCAGCTAGGTGTAGAGCATTCCTTCCTAGAGAGGTAACAAGGAAACAATGAATAGTTACGAAAGACGGGCCATGGTGTTCCTTCCGTGCCTACATTTATGTCCACACCTCACACAGAGGCAATACAAATGGGGCACTGACACCCCGGCGTTAGCAGCAATGACTCTGTTTTGGCGAGGCTCGATACGTGAATGCACCCAGGACGGATGTTTCTTTTATGTCAGTCCCTCAATGGTAAATCTCGTCAAATCCTCCCATAATTTCTTATTTCTGCACAGCTTTCAACTCACTGCTGAAAGCACATCACAGAGAGCAAGAGGCAAAAACCCACCCCTGGGAATTTGAAACTTTCACAGGGGCCAGAATATACACACTGGTGAACCTGTTCAGCACTAAAACCTTGCATGCATAGAAGCATTTCTCCTGCATCTTCAGTAATCTCACTTTTGGAAGAAATTGCCACAAACACCATCATTCTGCTTCAAGCAAGGCGCCCGTACCTGCCACATCAGTCGCCACAATGTCAACACCATGAATAAGAATGACATTCAGACAATCAAGATTCCCTTTAGAGGCTATAACATGGAATCTAAATGAAAAACAAAACAAAACAAATTACAGAGGGCCAAAGTGCAACACATGCATGTCAAAGGGAATCTACTCCAATTTAAGTGTGGATGGGGTTCAAGACAAAAGCAGTCAATGGGGAATGTGAAAAGCAGTAAACCTGAGCAGAAAAATACTGGGCCTCAAAAAGAAAAGCCATGTGTGAAAAGTAAGCTAGACTGCAAATATCTACTTTCTGACCCACAACTATGGCTAATTTAAGCCCTGGGACTTATGCAAGCCTCTATAATACTTGCAACAACCCAGGAAAGCCCTGCAAAACCAACCTGCAAGAGGCCCTCCGCATTACGAGAAAGGGGCACGGGTACTAGCAGTCACACCGGGAGCCGCCAGCCTGCCTCGACGAGTTGCTTGGTACAAATCGAATTTAAACATAAATCCAGCAGAACAACCCTTAGTATTTAAAGATCTCACTGCTTACAATTTAAAGACCAAAGGCAGCTTGCAGGGCTTAAGACTGCTATTCAAAACCGCTAAGGTTTGAGTATTTAGAGGGTTCTAAAATTACCACAAATATCTCCCCTTTTCTCATGTGTGAGTGTTGTAGGTCAGAATGAAACAAAAACTAATTTGGAAGAGGAATGGATGCTATGAGTGTAATATGAGCCACATGGGAACTGCACGGGTCTTTTCTTCTCAGCCCCAGCAAATCTAGGAAGCGGGTTCCTCTCCTCACCCCCCCCCTTTGACCCTTAACGGCACCCATTTTTTGGGAGCTGGCAAAGATTACCCAATTCCTTGCTCAGATCAGCTGTGTATTTCTTTGCAAACAAAGGAAGTGCTCTGTTTGTGTCGACCACGACAGGCCTGTGGCCAACATCTCCCACATTCCTGGGGAGGTGCTTAGAACCGAGATAATTCTTAGTTGATGCGTTACAAAATGTGCAGTAAATGCTAAGAAGCCTTCTTTGACCTAAACAGGTATTAAAGGGCATGGACCAGCTTTTGGTCTACTTAATCTTAGCAGGGCGTGTTGTAAAGTATTTGGGCGTACAAAAGGGCCTTTCCCCAAGACTTTTCTATAGATAGATACTTTGCGACCCCCAGTGAACTTGGTTATCCCTAAATACACTATAAATGTACAAATGTGAAATGTTCTTCCCCTGAACAGCAACTTTGTTTGAAACTTTGATGGCACATTTCCATCGCTCGAGGAGGATTACACAAAATAGCTCTTTGCCATGCTTCACACTGGATAAAACCCAGCAGAAATAACAGCATCCCTCAGAGAGATTGAGACTAAGAGCTCGGACCAGAAAGAGGCCCCCTCTCCAGCCCTCCCAGAAGCAAGTTGGGGTGGAAAAAGTGAGTTTGCTTGGAGGGTCACTCTGCAAGCCCAGAGCAGCTGAGCCCAAGATCCCGCTTTTCTACTCACACGGATCTCCCTTCCACATCGAGTTTGGTGGGGTTCACTCCCTTTTTAGCAAGGACAGAAGACAGCTTCTCCACATCGCCCCTTTCAGCCGCTTTCATCAACCGATCATCATATTTGTTCCAGTCCGCAGTCAACTGTGTGAAGATTACACAACAAGTGCGGTTAAAGCACAGGGGGTGGACATCTATCAGGAATACTAGGAAAGCATTCATTTTCCACACCAAGGTCACAACTCCTACAAGATGAGGAAAGAGGAAACAGTGTCAATCTGCCATGTAGCTGGAAGGAAATTTTTTAAAAATTGCAGGTATATTAAGGACTTGTTACTCCAAAATCAGTATCTTTAGCAGTCCATTGTCCATTAAGGTGCCGTTTATTCCTGGCAGGATACTAACAAGCTATCAGCAGCATAGTTTAAAGCGTGGGTCCTCACACTGCAGCCCAGGCGCCGGATCTGGCCCGTCATGCCCATCTGGGCCCGCCACGTGCGCGCCCACTGCCACCCACCTCGCTCCGCACGCGGGGAGGCAGCGCTCTGCTCGCTCGGAGAAAACGACCTCCAAGCAAGCGAGCCAGTGCCTCATGCGCCTGCCTCACAGCACATCCCCCCCCTCCCCCCCCCCGCGTGCACCACCAGCACCACCTTTCCGGCCCGCGCCCGGCACCTTTCAACTGGCCCCCCAGTTAAAAAGTTTGAGGACCCCTGGTTTAAAGGTTAGAGTTAAACCCAGTTTAACATATCTTTCGATTTCTTTGCTATGCAGAAGGCCCCAGACTAACTTAAAAGACAGACGAGGAGAATGGAGAGCATCTTGCAGCCTGGAAAGCCACCATCACCTAAAGGCAACAATGGGCTGAAACCAGCCTCTCCGACCGGTGAAGGGCCCTTTGCGCAGCAGGAGTTCCTCCCACCCCTGAACTCCCCAGTTTGTTCTGGAGGGGTTTGCAACCCAAGTGGATTTTAAGATAAAAATCTAGAAGGGCAGGATAAAATCAGTCAACAGCTCTTCCACCCAAGCGACCACTCCTTGGATGTCACCCCCGGTGCCCTCTGATGTGCTGGAATGCAAACCGCAGAGCCCTGCCGCGTTGGACGGCTGCGCTCCATGGACAAACAGCCTGATCTTGCCTGCAGCCGCTTCCTGTCTTCCTAGGACAGTTCTAGAATTCCGTTTTCCTGTAGAATTAGGCTTCTGCTAAAAAGAAGTAGCCTGAATGATCCATTCTCAAACTCAAGGCATCTTTTTCTGTTTCCTGAGTTCCCTGGTTTGAGTTAACTGGATTGCCAGACAGGCCAATGATTTTTTTTGGACTCTTCACAGCATTTATTGTTTTTAGGAAAGAAAAACTATTGCAAGCATGACTGGGATTTCAAGCAGTCTTCCTTCCAACTTCCAAAACAACCGCTCCCTCCCCTTTAGCCCACACACACCCAGCTCTCCTTTCAAAAACTGCAAAAGACCTGCTGGTTTTTGAACCAGAAGCTTTTCTACAGATAATGGCTGCATTTAAACAGCACAGGATTTTCTTTTCTTTTCTTTTTCGGATTCTTCCATTTCCCAGGCTACTTAATGTGCCATTTTTCTCCACACAGAAGTTAATCGCTATCTCAAGAGCACTCCATCTCCACAGATGAATGCTGGCAGAAGTAGTTTTGCTCTGAAAATGCACAGAAACAAAAAACAGCACACATGAAATTTCTTGGCCGAGTATGTCAAAAATATGAAAAGGTTATCCATGGTGCCATTCATACCATACAAGGTGCCTCCTTCTAGGTAAGCAAGCACAGCTCAGCTGGTCACGGGATTCTTTTCCCATGGGGAGTGACAGCCCCCATATGAACCAAGCTAAATATGCCACTCTCACTGGAGGGCTATTGTGTTGTGCAAACCGGGTGAGTCTGGGTTTTATGAGAATTAAAGTCTCGCATCACCCCGGAACAGACCACGGGTTACGCGAAGGTTGCTCAATCCCTGCTTAAGCCATGCCCCTCAGTTCTTGTGACCTGGCAACCCCAGAGCAGGCATGCCCACCCAGGCCCTGTGCATCCCACCTCAGTAAGGAACCCTTAACTGATGGATCATAGGAATGCCCTCACTGGGTCCAATGAACACCCCAGACCTGCAAAACTCTCAGACCGTACAGTGAGCCTGTCCATCCAAAGCATGAAATCACTTTTCTGCAGTGCTGCTATTTTGCAGAGAGGCAAAATTCAATACACACTTCGCTGGAGGGAAGAAACGGAGAGGGAGGAACCGGGTTTGCCATGCCTAGAGCAAATGCTAAATTAGTACCCCATAAACTTCCCCAGCCTGCTGGTTTTCTTCCTGTGAAATTGATTCCCACCACAGCCAGAAGCCCTGGGGAGAAACTGCCAGGGGGAGCGGAACATTCGCAGGGGAAAACGTCAGGCATAGGAAAACGAGACAGGCCACCTTCCCAGGCAACTACTTTTCCTACAGAAACGCCGTCCTCATTCCAGCACACCCTATTATTTCAGGTTTTTGCAGCTGATATAAACATAGAAACAGAGCAAGTCAGAAGGGACCTCCCGGGCGATCTAGTCTGACCCCTGGTTCCAGCCGGCTCCGCTCACGGCATGCCCGCTAAACTGCAACTGCAGGACAATTTAAGAGCATCTTTGCAAGGTGATGAAATTACGACAAGGCATTTTAAAGGTGGAAAGCATGAGAGATCCTGATCCGATTCAGCCACTCCCACTAGCATGTTCCTGCAGGTTTATGCGGCTGATAACCTGGCACAGGCCTAGCTCTGGAGGGCTTCCTATGGTGAGGATTCCTACCTGGCATGAAAGGGGCTAAGTGCTGGCATCACAGAATCATTGCACCCCCTTTCCAAGAAAAGACCTCTACATTACCCAGAGGAAAGAAATGTTTTGACCTCCTTCCCTAGATGCCCTTGACATGTTAAGCCTCAGGCAGTGAATGCTTCTTTTCATCAAAAACATAAGAAATAGTAAGTACTCCCAAGTACTGAGTACAAAAACAGCGGTTTTGCAAAAGGTTCCCATCGCAAGTTATCTATTTTGCAGTCACACAGCAGCAGGTTGGAATCAAACCGTCTTTCAAAACTGGTCTTGGAGGACTGCAAACAGAGAGTCTGCCATCTTTATCATGTTCAGATTGCAGTGAAAATTATTTCAAACATGAAACGCCCAGTAAATATTTTGGAACAGAAATCTGCAAACGTTCTGCACCAAGTGTGTCTATTTTACAAATTCCTCCAATCATTTGCAATGCAAAGCAGCTGCACATGAACCTAAATTTTCTTAGAGGAAGCATTCCAACGCTGCAACGCTCACTGCAATGCTGCAACGCACACCGCAGGCACAATGCAACTGGGGCAAAGCTTAAAGTTGCTCTGTCCAAAGCTTGGCCGGCTGTGCTACCCCGTTCAGGACATTGTCCATGGTACCTACTGCATTTTTAAGAGTACAGGAGAACCAGCAACTCATCCTAGACTTCCCGAGTCCCTGCTGCCAGGAGCGAATGAAGTACCCAACATTCAACGACAAGGAGAGACGCTGGAGGCTGCAGAAGCGGCTCCCTGAAACCTGTAATGTGGCGGCCCTCCTGCATGCATCATGGCCATCTGTCTCTTAGCGGGGAGCGGCAGTCCGGTTGTCTTCATCATCAGGTTCTTCCTCAGACTTCATAACTACTGGAGGTGGAACAGCTTCCCCGGCCGGCCCTGGCCCCGCATGGCGAGCGCAGCCTGGGGGCCGGCGGCTCCGGCTGCCCCTGCCTGGCGTCCAAGAAGGGAGCCCTACTCCGGCATGGCTGTGTTTTGGCTGTGTCTGTGCTTGGACAGCGACTACAGCCGTGGCGACTCAGACACAGTAAATATTGCCCTGCTCCAAAATAACCTGTAAACAATATGCAGACAGTCTCACACCAGTCCAGAGCTATTTTTTGACTTGCCTGGTACTTGATAGCTGAGTGATCAAAAGGAATGGCTAATAATACATTTGGTGCATGCTCAACCGGTGAGTAATACGTTATGGTTGCTGCTGGCCAGCGAAGCGAAAGTGCACAAGCTGTTCTTGCCGCAAGCGGGCAACAGCTCCCAGCGAAGGGCCTCCGTGGCATAAATACGCTGCGCCCAACTAGCTTGGGGCGGACACATTCTGCAGTGGGCCTCGAAGTGGCTGTGAAGCGGAGCGCTCGAGATGACGGTGGGAGCTATACGTGGTCCGGACACCTTCCCACCGCTGGCGTGATGCGCATCAAGCACAGTTCCAGCAGCACACAAGAGGAATGTAGGAGTCTATTTTGACAGAAGCATCTCCAATGTTAATTTAGAAGACACGCATGCCTTTGGTTTTTAAAAAAATAAAAATAAACCTCCTTTTACAAGCGCAAACGCCATTCTGAAAGCAAGGAGGTTTTAATTTACACTTGCTGCCAGGCTGTCTCCTTGCGTGCTAGTTGAGAAGCCCCATGGAGGCCTGTCAAAACGGTAAAGACATAACATGATGATTGACAGCGGTTATAGATGCAGGTCCCTTCCCCAATCTGCAGTTTAAGCAAGACATGTTCCTTAAAATGCCATCTTAGCCCATTTGGACAACATCGGATTTGACGTTTGCAGAACAAATGATCCAAACAGACTCCGCAAAATACGCTAGGCCTTTTCAGATTATTAAGACATCTGGCAGGAACTGAATAGATAATTTGCTAAGATAACCCTTCATGTAAAATTCCAGATAGTAGTTCAGGCCTTTGAAGAGACAGAAGGGTGGACTATTGAAGAATGTGTGTTCATTTCGGGGGCTAATTGTAGCTCCCGCACACACCTTCAAAAGAGTCATCAGTAGCAACAGTAAACATTTAAAAATAGAAGAAGCCCCTTGCTCACCAGGCCACAAAACGCTTGCCTAAATAAGGCCTTGCTCTGCTCCCAGTCGGGCACAGTTCGGAGTTCCAAAGCTGGGAAGGCCTCTTTGGTGGCCCCACCAGTGGCCTGGAGACATCATCCCCAAGAAAAATTTCCTTGGAGACTGCGGGGCACTCGAGAGAGAACTAGTCTCCGATGGAATGCCTCAAGCTTGGCACGCCAGGCTCCGCTGACATGGGCTCTGGCCTGGGTACCAGCCGGAGAGCAAGCGCCAGCA